TCCCTCAAAACTCCATCAGTCCTTCACAACCTGTAGAGACCGTCCTCTGCCCTGGCCTGTTCCCACACAGGCTTCAGGAACCCCCGTCCTGCCCCACCTACACGGGAGGTGCCCACACGTAGACACCCCCCGGCTTTCTGAGGGGACGGTGATCAGAAGAGTTCCTGGGAGGGAGGACACCCCAGGAAAAGGAGGCGGTAACCCCACCGGTGGGTGGGCAGGTGAACCGTGAAGCATGGGCCGGAGGTGCTGTGTCCACGCTATTCTTTCAAGCAGGGAAATCTCCTTCCAAGGCAAACCTTTAATATTCTGCTTCTGTATTTTTCTTTTGAGATCTTACCAGGATTATATTACAAGGTGCTGTTTGTAACATTTAGCTGGGGTGACGCCCAGTGACAACGAAATGACTTCGAAAATATAAAAGTTGGAGCTGAGGGGCGCTAGAGACAACACCACCTGCATCCTGTATCATTCTCGGCGTCCAATTTTTTCTTTTTTTGCTTTGATTACACGATTTCAAGAAAGCCTTAATCCACAGGGAGAGCAGACAATGCTTTCTTTGCAGGTGGTCTCCGCTGTGCTAATTTTTTCCATTTCACATCTGAGTGAGTATGGGGTTATTTTTTATCGTAATTTAGTATAATTCTTTGAAGAGCTAACTACAATTTGAGAGCAAACGTGGAACACGCATTTACGGGACTTTGTAAGAGACTCAGAGAACGCCTGGTCTCAGAGCCAGAGCAGCGTTCTCGCCCAGGGGCCCTGCACCTCACCCCTCGCAGCCGCCTCAGAAAGCCTTCCTCTAAGAGCGAGTCCCCCTGCACAGCTGGCCGAGGGCACCTTCCACTTCTACGTGCTTCAGAACCAAAGGCGTAAAATAAAATAAAACAAAACAGGTACGAGTACTCATTGAAACACATTTAAAGAGGCCATTTTGAGTTCTAGTTCAATTTAAAACTATTCATAGGCCAATTTAATAATCAAGGACTGTGAAATCAACTCAGGAATCACTGATTTCAGGTGGGCAAGTGCACAGCGTTGTGAATCACTGCTCCGTCATGTGATTTAATTCGAGGAACTCGGGTTCCCTTGTCCAAGCTGCCGAGGCCAGGTGACAGCAGCGAAGGCCAGACTGCAGGGGGCGGGGCTGCCCTGAGCACAAGCTTTCTGGGGACAGCCCTGGTGGGATCTGACAAACCCCAAGACCCACGGTTTCGGGAGCACGATGTCCCCACACAGAGGTCTGGAGGCCTCCCCCCGAGGGCAGGTATGAAGGCCACAGGGTAACTGCTGTCCACCTGCAGAGAGCTGGAGACCCCGACTCCTGGGGCCTAGCCCAGGGCACACCTCACCTGCACCTAGCCTGTCACCGCCAGCTCACTGTGTGGGCCCCTAAAACACGGGTGGGCCTGAGGCCGCAGACCAGGCCCAAGATGTCGCAAGAACAAGTATGTCAAGTGCAGGACACAGTGCCAGTCTCATGTCCAGCAGCACCAACGTGTGATGACCAAGCCCTTCGGGGCCTGGGGCTTGGCCCAGGTGGGCTAAGCTCCTGCCCGCTTAGAAAAACCACCTGTCCTTCCCCGCGCGACATGCTCTTCAGGAAACCAAGATGGGAAGCAATGCAGCAGAGGACACACAACCCCAGGCACCAGCAAGCAGCCCTGGGAGGGCAGCCCCCTGGCTGGCTGGCCCGAGTGGCGCTCGGCCCGGGCTGGGGTCTCCTGGGGTGTCCAGTGGAGGCGCTCCACCCTCAGGCTCACCAGCCCCGTGTCACCCCGAGTTCCAAGGCCTGCCATGAGGCCCAACGTTCCAACAGTACTCAGTTTTTTTTAAAGCTGGACTAGACCTAAATAACCAACCTGGGCAACTTACAGGAGGGGCTGCTGCTGGCACTGCCCACGGAGTGCCGCTTGGGCCGCCGCAGCCTGGCTCTGACTCTCCTGAGCCCCGGTGACAAACTGGTCCAGCCCTGGAGAGAGAGCAGGGGTCAAGCGGCACCACGGGCCCCAGCCCCCAGGCTCTCGCTCTGAACGGTGCGGGTCTCGGGAAAGACGCCGTGCGTTCTGTGCAGCAGAGGCTTATTAACCCAGGGCGCGGCTCACTGGTAAGTGCAAGAGGAGAAAGAGGCGCCCGGATAGCTTCAGGGAGCAGCTGGGGTCCCCTGAAATCGCTCCATCTGGAGACCCACGCCTCTGCGGGGGCACCACTGCCGTCGGGCCTGCACCAGCCGGAGTGGGTGCTGCCGGGAGGGGAGGGGAGGGGCTGCCCCGCGCCACGGGCAGGAAAGGGAGCGGCGGGAACCCCCTTCCGGGAGAAGCACCGAGCACGGGCCTCCCTGCCTGTGGCCTTGCGGCTCTCCCGGCAGCGCCCCTCCGCGTGGGCCGCAAGGGGCACCGGCTGGCAAAGCAGAGCTGGGAAAGGGAGGCTGGAGCGCAGGCCTGCCATGGGCAGAAGACGGACAAGGAGCGGCAATACGTGATCAGCTCGGGAGGGAGGGAGAGCAGGGAAGGACCCAGAGGCTAAAGCAGAGCAGGGCAGAGGCTCTGTTTACGTGAGAGGGCACCGCACCGCCCCAGAGGGCAGCACGAGGGGGTCTGAAGCCGCTGGGTGTGCGCCAGGGGCCAGGAGGGGTCAGAGGGCACAGACAGAAAGGGGAGGAAGAGCAACCGGGAAGGGCCGCGTGGAGGGGGCAGGAGAGAGCGGGAGGGGGAGAGACGGAGAGCAGAGACAGGACCTCTCAGAACAACGTGGGTGGAGGCGGCGGCCCAGGAGGCTCTCGGCGGAGCAGGCAAGAGGACAGGGTGTGCTCAAGGGAGCGACCCCGCAGGGTGGGGACGTCCCGGTGGGCGGGAGAGGGGGGACCGTGAGCGGCCGGGCCTCGGGGGTGGACGAACTGGCACAAACAGGGCCTGGTCTTGCACAGGAGTGCGGTTTTCTGACGTTTCCAAGAACTCCCCCCGAAGTGCCCCAAAGTGGTTTCTCACAACACCTGCCAACGGGCAGCCCTCCCCTGTCCTCGTGTGCCGGGGGGTGAGAGCACACCTTCAGCCTCTCCAGAGAGGGCTTCCTGCAGCCTGCGCCGCAGGCCCGTCGGCCACCACTCTGTGAACAGAGGCCTGTGGGTCCCCGAGCCGCGGAGGCCCGACCCAGAGCGCCAGCACCACACGGCCGCCTCTTCCCTGCGGAACGCCCTCTAGTTCAATCGCGGCCTTCCTTGTGAAGTAAAGAGGAGAAAACCCATAAAAAACTAAACCTCTGGTTCCGTGCCTACATTGAACCCTGAAGTCAGTGGCATTTCTGTGAACCTCTGGGAGTTCAAAATGCAGGCCTCAGTTCTCAGAGGAGAGGGCGGCACGTTCATCCATCAGTGCCTTTCTGAGCTGGCGTCTGTGGAAGCAAGTAAGGCCTGAGCTCTTGAGAACCCCTCTCTGCGCTGTGATGGGCTGCTGCAGCCCACTGTAACGTCATCTTCATCAGAAAGCCCCCAGCCTAAGGAGATCTACTTTCAAGGAAGGATGAAAGGACACGCACGCTGTGAAGCTGCAGGTAACACCTGAACAACCTTCTCTCGCTCAGCGCGGTTCTGCCCTGGCCTCGCACCGCACCTCCAGCCGCCACCGCGGCATCCCGGTGCCAAGGGGCGTGCCGTGACGATCGCCTGCGGGGCAGGAGGCCCAAAGGGCTGACCAGCGCCTCTAGGAAGCATGCGGACGGGGCGGGGCAACCGACCCCAGGAAGGACCGCCCCGCTGTGCGGAGCCCTCGCTCCGAGCTGCTGTGGGCTGGGGGCCTGGCACCCAATCTTGCCTGGAAGGTCAGCACAGAGAGTGGAAACACCCGGCAGCCGTGGCCGGGCCCACGTTCAAACCAAGAACAGCTCTGAGGCAAGCAAACCTGCAGTTGGCGACACGTGGCCGAGACGTTGACGCAGACACACGGCACTAGGCAAGACCTTTACTTCTAACGGCTGCCCACGAGCACTTCCCCGAGGGCACGCGGCCACCCACCCGGGGCCCTGCGGGTTAAGCTGTGAACATCACTGCACGCGCACACTGATCCCTGGTGGCTACACTTCCGCAGCAAACTAGAATGATGTTAACAAAATTTAATTCACACTTCTGCAAAGCCCCTAAAGCTCCCTTACGCTTGGGCTCCGAGGAGCAGAGCTCAAACCCACCACACACGTGCTCTCCAAGCATCCCCGTCCCACAGATGGGTGACCAGGCCTCGGGGGCTGCCACTGAGTCGAGGCCCCTCCGCCCCGACCAGGACACGGCGCCCGACCTTCCAGTCTCTCCAGTTCTGTGCCCCGTGT